AGCACCAGTGCTCATTAGATCATTTATATTATAAGTTGATCAATATATTTTTGCCATGCTTTTCATTATTTCATATTACAACCTTGCACGCACACACATAATGGGATTCGAATAATGGGAGACAAAGACACACATAATGGGATTCGAGAAGCCCATACAACTTGCAAAAAGAGTTCAGAGTATCTGAATATATGACATGCCATGTACTGTCAAAATAATTGATTTTTAGAAGCGTGCCTGCAAACAGATTCAAGGACAAACAATTGGAAGACTGAAACAAAAGTTTTCCGGGCGTGTGATTATTATGTTGGACATGGAAAATTGGTCCTAGTAAACTTTCTATGTACTTTATCATGCTTGGCTTGACCTCAAGGATTTGTCCTTCTTTTGTCAGCCTATTCATTATGAAACTTCAGGTGTGTCGGCAACAAACAACCACACTATTTACAAAAAAAAAAAAAACAAAAACGCACCAAAATTACAATCCTTCTATGTCAATCCATTTTACATTGTGCAAAATACTTTAATTAGTATCTCATATGTGAGAAACGAGTTGAGGCATCAAAAATATAAAAATAAGTGCGTCGAGGAATCAAAAATATAAAGAGAGAGGGAGGGACTAACTGCCATGGGACGTCTCCAACAAGCATCCAATCGCCATCTTTATCCTCGTATATTGGAACGTACTCACTACTCTCTCCTTCACCTGTTCACGAACAACTAACTCATTAATAAGCCTCCGTTTGTTTCCAATTTTAATGAAAATTTGTATCGTTGCAATGGAAAGCAGTCGCTTTTGTTGATCAGTTTGTCTCATATGAGACCCATTTGTTTGAAAAAAAAAGTGAAAAAAATCATTTTTTGTTAAAATAATGGGAAACAAACGGATCCTAAATTTTTCATTCTTCATTAATTCCTATTATTTTTCTCAGGAATGAAACAAGCCCCCACTCTCTATAATACTCGTTTTATCATTAGATCTGCATTTTCCACCCCTAACAAAATTTCACTCGTAGTTAGTACTCACAATTGCACCATTCCGCATATCCTAGTGATACAAAGACCAGACCAGCTCGGTCTTACTGACATAGACAGATTCAGGACCGGATTATAAATCGGGATAATACGTAAAAACTATATAAAAAAATCAATTGGGGGGAGGGAGGGGGCTGTAGCCCTGCCCAGCCCCCATCCGTCCCTGCTT